CTATCTATCTATCTATCTATCTATCTATCTATCTATCTATCTATCTAAAAATAAATCTTAAATCACACGGTATCAAGCCTTCTGTCCCTTAAAAAATATTATCCTGTATGAGCATTAACATGTAATAAAACCCTAAAATTTCTTAGTACTTGAAAGAGTGAAACTCTCTCATAACAATATTTAATGTCTGTTTTGAATTTAAAGTAAAAAAAATTAGGCCAATAATTTTTGCAACAAGATAATGCAGCTGATAAATCCTATTTACTAAGTATGTTTGATTTAATACATTGTGGATCTCTTCCCCCCACACCTCTTCAGACATGGTGAAATATTGGAAAAGTTGCTTATAAGTATATGGATCAGATGTGCAGTATATGAATGAAGCACTCTAGGAGAATTTAGCTCTGGCCTTGAGAAAGAGGAAGACAACAGTTGCTCAGGCCTGGGAAAATAGGAAGTGTGAGAAAGAACAACCCTGCCTTCATCTTGTTTTACTTAAAAGTGGGAGGGCAGCACAAACAATTCTAGTAAAACACATTCCTGAAATCTTTACTATGCCCGTTTCTTAATCAGGCTGAACTCAAAGGGTTGACAAATATATATGTTTGGAAACAGGGGACACATACAAAAACAGTATTTCCCATTAACAGTTACCTGCCAATCTGTATTAACTGTGTCTTTGTGGAAATGGAAAAAAATACCGTTAACTATAGACCCCTGTCATTTGACTGTCACAATTAGTCATATTTAAAAAGGAAAAAAAACATTTTGAAAGCACACTTAGAAAAAAAATGCACCTGCAGTTTCTCTTCCTTTGGCAATACAGCAACTGCTGCAATAAAACTACTGAATGATGTTCCATGCTTTATTGTAACTCAGCATACTTGCTGGTGATCAACCTAGGAAAGGCTCTCAATCATCTTGCAACAGTCAATCAGAGCCAAATGCCCATGTAAAAATAAACTCAGTTTCAAAATCTTGAATAGCAGGGAGACATGAAAAGTATTTGCATAGCTTTTCCAACAAACAGCACAGCTATCCATTCAGGCTGAAGTGAATAAAGAAAGACTTTGTGAAGGCTACAGAGTTAGCTCTTCCTCTCACAGTATGGAATTTTTTTTCAGTTAAGTCTGGGCTGGAAGCCAAGGAACGACACTAAAATGTCAAAACTATGCCATATTTGGAAGCTGCTATACCCAGAAGGCAACTGAGAAAAGTAGATCACTGTATCGCTTGGTCTAGTCTCTGAGAGTGCACAGCAAAAGAGAAAGATAAAAACTATCTGCCTTCTGGCAGGAAACACAAGGGACATGAATTGCCACTTCCTCGTTTAACTTGGGAACAAGCAAGCACACTCGGCTAACATCATGTGTATTTATAGGTTTTTATGCTTTTCTAATTTTCTATTATGTGATTTAGTGGAATTTATTATTGTGATTTGATCCTGAACCATGGGCTGAGTAAGCTGTATATTAAATTGAATAAACAAACAAAGTAAGTTGTTCATTTATTCAACTTAATAAATGGACATGCATAAGTGCAATTTAGTAAGGGGCGTGCATAAGTGCATAATGGTGCATAAGTGCACCACTGTGCCTACCGTCCCTGTCCTATTGTCCCCATTTATTTGTACCTATTTCCTGTATTCTTATACATGTTTATACTTATACCTATTATCTTGTAAATGATTGACAAATAAAGAAGAAGAAGAAGAAGAAGAAGAAGAAGAAGAAGAAGAAGAAGAA